CCCCAAAACCCCAAAACCCCAAAACCCCAAAACCCCAAAACCCCGATAAGCAAGAAAATATTGTTTTGTATAATAATTAAAATGTATACCAAGAGAACCACCAAAGCAATCTTGTGCTTACTTCTTTGTTTGATAATAACACCTTCTTTCGCAATGAGAATTAGGTAAAGTCATGAAGATTGCTTTGTAGATGTGCCAGTCATGCAACCCCTGCAGACTTACAAATTAGACTTATTCTTGAACAATTAGAAATTGAATTAGCTATCTTAACGAGCTTATAGGCAAGAGGATGATGCTGCTGCTACTAGCGCTGATGCTCCAGATGATGATCAAACTATGGGAACAATGCTATACGATCTAGTTGCCGAGACAATGAGGACAGGAAACGAGGCTTCCCAGTCAATTTCAGAATTGTGGAACCCAGTTATTGGAAACCTTGTTAACGTAGTTGCTAGAGCAACTAATGGATTTGATCCAGACTATTTGATGGGTCAAGCAGGATCATTGCCAGCTTTAGATGGGTCATCCCCTCCAGAAGGTGATACTTCATATGATGATGCTCCAGCTCCTACTCCTGCTCCAGAACCTACTCCAGAAGTATATGATGAACCAGCTTCAGATGATGCTCCAGCCTCAGATGACGCTCCAGCCTCAGATGACGCTCCAGCTTCAGATGATGCCCCAGCCTCAGATGATGCCCAAGCCTCAGATGATGCCCCAGCTTCTGATGATGCCCCAGCCCCAGCTCCAGAAGGTGAAAGAAGACTTCAATTATCTCAAGACAACTCTCAAATCCTCCAAGACGCTTTCGACCAGCTCCAAGATCAAATTAATCAAGCATTCAATGATTTCTATCAACAAGTATCCCCTCTCCTCCCAAGCCAAGACCAATCAGCTTCTCCAGCTCAAGATGCCACTGCTACAAGAAGACTTCAATACTAAATATATATAAAGCTAAAATTTGCCTTTACATTCCTCTCCCACCTCCCCTACATCCTATCCCACCCACTTACTTCTCCCCTATCGCCTCTCCATTAGTTTTCCTCCTTCACCTATTCTAATAAGTTAGCCTAACTTTTCTTGGGCAGGGCATTTCTTGGCTTAATATCTGTCCACACCAAAATTTATTAAGCCTTTACGTCTTTTTAGTCAAGAGTTTTAGGAGATTCTTAGCGCCTGAACGAGGGTTTCAAGGGGATTTAGGGAGGTTTTGTTCAGGCAACCTTGCGAATGGTTTTAAGAGGGTCTTCGTCTGGAGAGGGACGAGGATGGGGTCGGCTTGAGAGTTTGGAATTCAATTTTAAGTTTAAGGATGGGGTTTTGGGGTTTTGGGGTTTTGGGGTTTTGGGGTTTTGGGG